AGCAGCCTTGCGCTGCTGCTGCCCCCCAACAGCTGCTGCTGCTGCTGTTGCTGCTGTTGCTGCTGCTGCTGCTGCTGCTGCTAAGGCCTCCTCCGGTGTCTCTCCACCTCCTGCATCACCGCTGCTACCGCTCCTGCTGCTGCTACTGCTGCTGCTGCTACTGCTGCTACTGCTGCTGCTGCTGCTGCTGCTGCTGCTGCTGCTGCTGCTGCTAACGCTATCTGGCTTGTGTGTTTGTGTGTCGCTGTGTTGTTCATGAGGGTCAGCAGCCGGAAGTGAATGTTGTGTTGCTGCTGCATGCGTGTCTGCTGCTGCTGCTGCTGTTGCTGCTGCTGCTGCTGCTGCTGCATGGAGATCAGTTTGCATTGCTGCAGTGAGCTGAGACAGCAGCAAAACTTCTTCTGCTGCTTTTTTATTTTCTGCTGCTAGCGTGGAGACAGACAGCAGCAGCTCCTGGCGACGACACTCCAGGTCCGCTATCGCTACCTGCATGCAGCAGCAGCAGCAGCAGCAGCAGCAGCAGCAGCAGCAGCAGCAGCGGGAGCAGCAGGAGAGGCAAATGTATGCTTGCAGGCAGCAGCAAGAAGAGACAGAATAAGAAAAAGAGAGAAAAGAAGAGACAGAAAAAGAAGAGACAGAAAAAGAAGAGACAAAAGAAGACACACAATAAAAAGAAAAACAAGAAGAGACAGAAAAAGAGGAGACAAAAGAAGAGACAGAAAAAGAAGAGACAGAAAAAAGAAGAGACAGAAAAAGAAGAGACAAAAGAAGAAACAAAAGAAGAAGAGACAGAAAAAGAAGAGACAGAAAAAGAAGAAAAAGAGAGACAGAAAAAAACACACAATAAGAAGAAGAGACAAAAGAAGAGACAAAAATAAAAAAAAAGACAAAAATGAAAAAAAAAAGAAGAGACAAAAGAAAAAGAGACAAAAAAAAATAAAAAAAAGGAGACAGAAAAAAACACACAATAAGAAGAAGAGACAGAAGAATAAAAAAAGAGACAGAGAAAGAAAAAGAGAGACAGAAAAAAAAAAAAAAAAAAAAAAAAAAAAAAAAAAAAAAAAAA